AGCTTAAGTCTACTTCTCTTCATGCAGATAATACTAGTGCTATCCAGATTGCTGCTAATCCCGTTTTTCATGAACGCACGAAACACATTGACATGGACTGTCATTCCATTCGAGAAGCCTATGAAGAGGGTGTTATATCAATTCCTCATATCACTTCTGATCTTCAAACGACTGATATATTTACTAAAGCTCTTTCTCGACAGCGTCATCAGTTTCTTGTTAGCAAATTGATGCTTCTTGACCAGCCAACATCAATTTGAAGGGGATATCAATCAGGAATAAAAGAAATCCGACATAATAAAGAGTTTCCTTCTTCGCAAGAATGAAAGCAAAGGAAGAGGCATTGAGCCTATTTGCTCAAAATATTGTCAGTGACTACGAAGAAATTTAGAACAAGTGCTAAGAACCACTCCCAAGGTACTGCCATTGAATAAGACAGAATTCAACAATAAAAAAAGAAGAATTATAATGCAGCAGCTTTAGCCTCCACTCTAATATATGATGAAACTTGCTATCTAAATTCTTATACTCAAGTGGGTAGAGCTGCACTCTCTACTCTTTTTGTCCCTTTTCTCTTCCTTCCTCTCTGTGCTAAGGATAATTCAGGATTCAAAACAAGGGTTTCGACTAATTAGAATTCTCATTAACTTGATGAAAAGAAGTTATAGAAAGGGCCTTATTTTGTACACACGGAGAACGAAAGATAAATGTGAAATAAAATAACAAGAATTACTAAATTTTCACCTTATTTCAAGCTATTTATCATTAAAAATATAATCATATAACTAGTCCTTTCTTTATTTAAGTAAAATCTAGCATAGATTCCAACTTGTCATGAAGTCTAACATTTAACAAAAGTTTATCCTTGGGCTTGGTAGCCTATATATCACTACATTTGTTCCGATCTTATCGTTTTGACTATTTTCTGGTGATTTGCTTGAACTTAAGGACAAGTTCATTTTGGAGGGGTGAGTAATGTTAAGGTTATAATTGTAATAAATAGTTGGGATTGAGTTAACAGATCATTATAGGCCTTCCTAGTTCACAAGCAGTTAGTACATATTAGGTGGTTATTACTTATTTAATGAGTCATTAGTCTTTATATTCTATGAATACAGCTATTCTATAAATACTCACCATTTGGGAGAATAGGGAAAAATAAATAAATAAATAAATAAAGCTATGGCTTCACCATTCCCCAATGAATTTAGGAAATTGTGCGTACCGTAAAATTGCCTTCTTCTTCCCCTAATCAACTTTTAAATTTTGAAGCAAAATTTGAAGTTATCTGGCTATCTCATTTATTGTTGTTATTTTCCTCACTATGCTATTTGTCTAGAAGCATATTCCATTGGAGGATAAATAAAACTCAAAAAGTACAGTATCATATTCATTGGCATAACAAAGATTAGTCCAACAAAGGATGACTAAATACTAAGAAAGCAAATGCGACCTACCCTTTAAAGAACTAAAAGTTTCTTAAACTTCTTAAGCATTATCATCATCATCAACTCCAAGCATAGCATCTTGAAAATTGTCATAGTTTCAATAACCACTTCATCCCAACAACCATCAATCAAATATATCTTAAAAAATCTACAGAAGAAAAACTTTGAAATGTTTTTCCGCTTATGGACCAAAAGCCCGCATGAACATTTCATTCCCATCTCCCATATTATCTTACAGAATTATCAATTTCTCAGGTACTAAAGAACATTAAACACGTAAGCATCTGAAACACATCCCCAAGCCCCCCC